GGGTGCCTGCTGCTTCCTCACAGCAATGATGGTGGTGGTGGTTTCTGTGACCCCACCCACAGCAGCAAATGCTCTGAGCAGAAGTTGCAGGACAGGCTCCTACAAGAAGGGTGTTTTCCCTGGGTTGTACACGCACCAGGGCATAGTAAATGCTAATAATTTACAACTGTCTGAACAAACCAATTACAAACCTGTTACTTTCAGTTATTTGCTGAGTAATGACTATGCTGAGCTCTTCATGAAGCACAGATAAAATCACAGTCCTCAGCCCTGTGTGCTCTGAATGGGTAGGGAGTGATGCTTTGTCCACCACCTCTTCAGTCAAGCTGCATCATCCCCAGTGCTGGTGCTCCAGCAGCCCTGCAGGTCTGAGAGCAGCAGTCCAGAGTCCTTTGAAACCTGCAATAGAATTAAACTTTAAAAAAAAAAATAGGTATCAAACACTTCCATCCTGATTTCTTTTGTGGACATGTTTCAGAATCAGCTAGTGGAGTGTGCCTGTTTGCAACGTGCTGGTGTCCTGGAGATTTAAATGGGATAGTTCAAAGAACACGCATTGGGTAAGGAGCTTAGGCTTTAGTAAGCCATTGCCAGACACTTTCAGGGAGCTAACAGGAGAAAAACAATGGCTCTATTTGACAGAGTCCAGTGGATGAAAAGTACCAAAGGTATAAAGTCCAAAACTGCTGAAAGTGGTGGAAAAATAATGGATTAGTTCTTCTCTCCTGACTCAATACCTTTATTCTTTGACATTTATTTTTTTATTGCCTTTGCTCCTGTAATGCATCGTGGTGACTCATGTGGAAGGTCTGTAATAATGTTTCATTGCTGTTGAAAGTCACCAGATAATCACTAATCATCCTCTGGTCCTGCACGGTTCTGTATGTTTAGAATATAGCCAGAAATGGGCTGACATTGATAGAATGGGGTAAAATAAGAGAGAAAGAGCATTACAAAGCAGGTGCTGAGGAGTCAGACACACAGAAAACAATAGTTTATGTATCTGCTGGAAATAAGAAAGGGCAGGTGATAGCCTGGTGATGCCCAGAGCTATTTCATGGGATAGCTGGTGCCACAGCAGTGCACTCCTGCCCTTCTGTTCCAATACTTGTGCTTGCTCACAGGCACAATGTTTGTCAATATTTTCAGGAGCTTTGCAACTCACTTAGCCCCACTTAGACCACATCTGGCATTTTTTGCTCTTTCAAAGAGCAAGGCTCATTCCATGTGGTCCTGCAGAAGTGCAGGGCTGAGGCTCTGGAGAAGGGACCTGTTTCAGCCTTGGTTTTGGTGTTGGAGGAGGGAGGTGCCAGCTTCCTTCAAGTCTTTGTGCCTGGTTCTGAGTTTCCCAGCTCATTCAGATGCCTAGGGGTGTTGCTCTATGGAGCAGAGAGCCTGTTCCCAGGGATTTGACTTGGTTTCCTCTCTTAGCAAGGACAACTGAGGGCCATATTCTAAGTAGAGACATCATGGCTTGGCCTAATAATAAACCTATTGACTCAGGGTGTTTGGGGGCATAAATACAATAAATTTGTACTTTACTGAGCATAGTGTTGGCCAAGTCCCTTCTAGCCAGAGGCCATCTCTTCTGAAGCAACCAGACCCCCAAATGCAGCAAAATGGAGAATTTATAACAAAAAAGAGCTGGCTTGACAATGCTGCACAGTCCCATCCCAGTCTGCATCCAGTTCTCAACTATTCTCTGCCTTCAGTCCAATAGTAAAGTCATATTTATTTCCTTGGCTCTGCTGTGTTAATGAAAAAGCCACTTAACAAAACAAATAGAAGGAAGGACATTTGCAACCAATTATGGTATTGCTGATCAGTCACATTGTGCTGGAAATTACACACTGAAGTTCAGCCCAGGCAGCTGATCAATGACCTGGCAGCTTGGCACCCGTGCACACTATCAACTTAATAAATCAATGTAACTTCACTCCCCATGCCAGAATGTATATGTGCAGTCAATATGACATCCATATTAAATAATGATGGTTAAAACTAATTGCCCAGACACCGTGCTCTCTTACCTGCTGTGCAGCCCCACTGGTGCTCCAGCGGGCTGGGTGGAATTTGGCCACCTATTCCTTAAAGAACCCCCTGGGCATCATTTAAAATCATGTCTTTAAAGGCTTCTTTTTTTTTTTTTTTGCAACCACAAGGGAAGTCAGCACTCCAGGATATCATCCAGGGTTTGACCAAACTGCCAGCCAGCTCTGTGCTCCCAGGAGGACGTGGTGTGACGGCGGGTCCTGGCGCGGGCGGCAGGAACTGCAGGAACGGGGTTTCTCCTCGGTGGCAGATGCACATCTTGGCTGGTTTATTCTTGGCTTCCTCTTCTTAATTAGCTCTGACATTTTAGCTGCCGTAATATGGGCTTGGTTTAGAAAGTTAAGGCTGAAAACACTGAGTTTTGCTGCAAACAAGTTTGGTTTAAAGTACAGGGAAACCAGGATGCTTCCGACTGTCTGGAAGCTTTGTGATGGGCTGGACCATGGAAATACAGGAGCTTCTGGGCATGCTGGTGGTCACTTGCTCCCACACCTGATAGCACCACTTTCAGTGCTCTCTGCTCTTGTATTTCACTCTACATAGAATCATAGAAATTATGCAGTTTGTACTGATTTAAAAAAAAAAAAGGCAATTTATGTAACTATTTAGAAATAGCTTTTTTAAGGACATTGAAGACATCCTAATGGGATTTTTGTAAGTGCCTCAGACTCTCCAGCCAAGTGACACACTCAGCTCCCAACATCCAATATTTTAGACCAGATATTTTACCTGGAACCAAAGCAACATCCACTCTGGCACATACTCCAAGCCTCTTACTTGGCCATGGCCTCAGCCTTTCTGGGAACATACCTGGCCCTTTTCCACCCGCTGTTTGTCCCAGATCACGACAACAGGAGAAGGGACATTTGGGCACAACAGACCCACCCTGACACAGTCACTTTGGTTGTGTCCTCACACCTCAGCTGCATTTTTCAGATGCATCATGTGCTCCAGCCACGGGGAATACTTGCAAGAGATTTCTATATCCTTCCTCTGGGCTTCATTCTTATTAATTCAACTATATTACTATATAAAGAATATTTTAACTGTGATACGAATTAATCATCAAAGAATCATGGTAGAATGCTTTGGGTTGAAAGGGACCTTAAAGTTCATCCATGTTCTGCAGGTATTTATAACCTTGGGGATACAGCACATGCACACACACAAATATATCTATATAAATATATATATATATATGGCAATGATCTTTCTTTGGTAGCAATTTGGTTTGGCTAAAGCTTAGCTGAGAGCAGATGCAGGGAGCAAGGAAAGGAGGGAAGAAAATCCTGGCTCATCTGTTGCCCAGCCACAGTCGAAGCTGAGTTTGGCTGTTTTTCTGGCAGAAGTGAGTTGTAAGGACAGTTTTGGAGGAGGGAGAAAGGAGTGGCTGTTCAGATTTTATCGGGAAGGTTTTCTCAGACTCTGAAGAAAAACTGGGCAGAATGTGAGTCTGTGCTTTGGGAAGGAGCTGACAGATGGATTATGGAGGCGGGTGGGGCAAAGGTTATGGGCTGGCCGTATGGTAGGTGGGTTATTGGTTCACCAGGTAAGAGGAGATGTGGAAAGGTAACAGGAATAAAGAGGAGAAGGCAAGAAGCTTGTAAATTATGTAAGAGGACTGGTATGGTGGTGGAGTGAATTGATGTGTCTTGAGGGTAGCTGCTCAAAGTGAAGATGGCAACAGCTGATATAAGAAGAGGGAGGCTTGGAGGAGATTATTTAAAATATAATGTTTTAGAGATGAGAAAAAGAGAAACTTTGAGACACGACTCCAAAGAAATCCAGGCTGGTATCACCTGGGTGAGAAGGAAAGGGGGAAAAGAGGGAGGATGGCAGGAAACCACCTATTCCCAGCTTACTGGGAGGGGTGGAAAGCAGTGACCGAGCTGCTCTGTACAGCTCTTGCAGGTTTTTTTTGAGTTATCTGAGTATTTTTCCAATTTAATTTGATTAATGGATTATTTTTATATCATTGCTGACAGTGTCCCAGAACGTTGGTGACTGCAGGTGTTCCCTGGCTACATGATCAGCCTCGTTCTTCCTCACAGGGCACCACCTCCACACAAACTTGGTTTCCTTTGCTGTTTCCAGAAATTTACAGCAGAAAAATACTCTGAGAAAGTTCTGACTTGTGGCGGCTTATCCCTTCTAACCCTGGCCATCACTCAAATAAAAAATGGCAGTGGGCTGTGGAAAAAAAGAAAAAATAATTGAAAAATAGATTCTTATGTCTTTCCAAACCACCAGAGCAGTTTACCCATTCCTGGGAAAAAATGCAATCAAGCAACATTTCCCTCAATGTCAGAATGCAGGATAAAGCTTACACGAGGCTTTCAAATAAGATAATTTTATATTTGTCCTGTCAAATGCAGAAATAATCAGCTTTTTCTTTCTCTTACCCTAAATATTTACATCTAGGTTTGTTTTCCTTCCTTAGTTTGCTTGGTTCGAAAAAAAATAATATTAATTTTGTTTGTTTGTTTGTTCATGTTGGATTAAAAAACCAGGATTAGAACAGTTGGAGATGGGTTGGGGATTTATCAGTTACACTTGGAGGGTGTCATATCCCAGTATGGTATGATGGGAAGAAGGTATGAAATCCTGCATCCAGCAGCATCAGTAGCAATACTTCCTTTAGTTTTCATTACCTATATTAGATAGAAATAATAGAATAATTCATACTTTCAAGAGCAAACAAGGATTTCTCCAAATTGACTCAGTAAGTGATCCTCTTCAAACTGGAAGCCACCTTACTCTATTTGAGTCCTCAAACACCCCAGCAGCAATTGTGTTGCTATCTGGAGAAACCTTTAGCACAGCGCTGGCTTGGAATTCGCTCAGGTTTCCAGGGGGAGATCCCGAGCTGCAGCTGGGGTGGGATGGGGAGGAGCAGTGAGGAGCTGTGCTGCTCCTGCCGCTCTGCTGGGGAGGGTTTGGATCACACCCGAGCTCGTGTGGCCTCGCTGAGGGGGGAGCAGGTCTGTGTGCTCGAGGCATCTCCTCCGGAGAGCTCTCCCCGAGGGAGCTGTGCAGCCAGGAGCTCTCCCGAGGTTTGCAGAGGTTTGTCTGTGTCCCTGCACCCCTGTGCCAGCATCTCCTCTCAACAGATGGCTGGAGGGCAGCGATGATGGAGGTGAAGTGATGCAGCCTCAGACTCTGGTACCCAGGAAGATGCAGCTTTGATGGCAAGTGAACCTGCAGATCTGTCTGCTGAAAACACGGCCCCAGAGGAGCCCTGTGGCTGCCCTTGGTCTCAGGTGGCACACACAGATGGGCACCTCCAGCAGCCTCAGTCCCAGCTCCTCACTCTGCCATCCCAGCGCCTTTGCATAAGGAGCAACCCGTGAGTAACAGCTGCCTCTGCAGACAGCAAATCCTGCAAGTATTTTGTGGTAAACCTGCTGCTGCTGTGGGCAGGGAGGATGCACTTTACTCTGAAAGCAGGGGATGAAAAGCCTCTGTGGCAACGGCTGCGCTTTGAGAGCGGCTGAGCCCAATCCTCTGCACAGGCAACTGTTTATTATCAGAATAACTGATCTCCCAGAGCACTTAATGCCCTGCCTGCACGGAAGGAGCCAGCACACGCTGCAGCCTCACGGCCTGTCGCTGAGTATCTCGGTCTGACTCCAGCAGCATCGCTGTTAATTGCAATACAAGGGCATTTTAGGGATTTACCTGTTTCAGTCGCTTGTTCAGGGTGGTACACAGTGAAAATAACAACCTGAAACGGCTGTACTTGCCCAATTGCTAAGCTACAGGTGTGCTGTGGCAGATCTGTGCCTGTCAGCAGAGAACTGAGTCCAGGAATTAAGTAGATTTGCACCTTGCCTATCTGTTTGTAGATAAGAGCGTTACCTCAGAGCCAGGCAGTGGATATTGCTGATAGACTGAGCCTGGGTGCTGGGTTACTCCTGACTTTGACCTTGGCCATTTATATCACTGGAGGAAAAATTTTGCGTGCTCCTGTTTGCTCACGTGGAGATAAGGACACTGGTCTCTGGATTAAAAGTGTCATTAAGGGAGGCACATTATGATTATAATTATTATTTTACAAGCTGAACAGCGTGCAGAAGCTGGCAGTGCTGCTGCTGAGCTTCCTCAAGGAGCGTGTGCCTTTGCAAAAGGGTAGAGGAAGCTGTACGGGAGGATTTTCTCATACATAAGCTGAGGAAATGGATTATCTGTGAAACAGCCAACAGTTTTTATTTACTGTGAAAATCTGAGTCTCACTCTCAATTTCCCATCAAGATAAAATGCAGGCATTTGGTTAAAATGGCAACTTAATGCTCCAGAGGTTTAATTACCACCACTCTATAATCAAAATCAACACAGAGTGCAGGCTGTAGCTCCCAACTCCAACAAGAAATGCAGCTCCCCACAAAGCAGTCAATAAAAAGAAGATATATAGCATGTGCTTGGATTTTGTGGTCCTTCCCACAGCTGAACTTGCAAATCTGCTATTGCTAATGGTTTTCTTTCAAACCTCAGGTTCTCCCTCAGCTTTTATCAAACTCCAGAGCTCCTTATTTCCACGTTTTAACTTTCTCTGTATAATACCTATATACACAGTACTGAATTAAGGGAGTTCCCTGTGCTGGGAGCTAAACCTCTGATTTTTTTCCTGTACCAACAGAAGGCACTGGACCAGTCTCAATAGTGGTGATTATTGAAACTTTGTGAGGGCCTTGGTTGGAAGAAGTGCCAAGAAGGCAGGTATGTTTGCTGGGCTGTGGCTGGTGTGACCTCTAGCATGCACCTCTATAGATCAAATGATTGATCCTCCTCCACTGCAATTCCTGGTGCTTTTCTTTAAAGACTTCAGGACTTGTTAGATCATAGGACCAACTTGGGTCTTGCTTGGCACAGTCTTCCCTCTGCAAGTTCAGATTTCTTTTTTCCAGTGCATCTTCTGAATGAGGTGGTTATGCTGTCCCAACTGTGGATCCCTGTGAAAGTTGCACATGCTCTATATTTTACCCATTCCTTTGCAAGTTGGGTTTTTAGGGAGTAAAGCCTTTACCTGCCTGGCAGCTATAGCCAAACAAAGCACAGGCACTGTTAGCAATGCAGTCCTCTGTCTTCTGCCAGGGGTTGAGTCCCAGCTTTATATCCCAGGATGCTCCCAGATGCTGGAGTAGCAACCACAGAAGTTGCTCTCAAAAGAAAAAACCAAACCAGCTTTGCTATGGTTTCTGCTCTTTCTAAGAAAGGGTTAATTTTCCTCCTCATCATCATCAGCCCCCCATAAAGAGCAGAACATTTTGTATCCTGCCCCTACTGACTTGTGGAAATAAGAGATACCCTATTAGCAATCCTTGTCCAAACACAGTGTTGGCCTGGTTAGTGCCAGCACTTTCCATCCAGCACTAGTATTTGTTTTTCCATGCTCTTAATCTTAGAAATTGAATCGAGTCTGATAAAAGTGACTTCCTGAATATTGCATAACAGTTTACGTCTGTCAGGAGGGAAGACAAACAGACCTGACCTTGAACTTGGAAAGTTTCCTCCCAGCAGGTAAGAGCTTCCAAAAGTCTGTGCTGAGGCTCCTGGTCTCCTTGCTGTCCAGGGACAGCAGCGAGGCTTCCCTGGCAGCAATCCTCTCTGTAAAAAAAAAAGCTTTGGAAAATGCTTTGGATCCTCCTCTGGGGACCTGAGAATCCCCCGGAAAGAGCTGCAGCAGGAAGGCAGCTTCGTGTTCTTGCTCCAAAAAGAAGGCAGAGGAGAAATCCTGTCCATATCTGGCAGGGTTTAGCCTCCAGGGATTAATTAAAGGCTTTTTCAGTTTTTCTTTCAAACCTCACAACATTCATCCCCGCCTCACTGAATAGGAAAAAGGGAGAGGCATTTTCTCTGGTGAAGCACCAGCCTGTTTCAATTTTCAGTTTTACATTGCAGTAATATGCTTTTCCTAAGGGAACACCACAGGAAGGGCAAACTTTGGCTTCTCACCATTGGAGCATTACATCATTAATATGAGCTGGAAATCTGAGCAGCGGGCAAAACAAATTCCCTAAACTTAATTCCCTCTTTCCTTGATGCTTCTGTCCCTCTTCCTTGCCCAGGGGTAAAGCAGGTGGAGGTGTTGGCAGAGCCAGGGGGGTGGGGATCAGTGGACCAGGAGTGGGTGGTGATGCTACAGGAGCAGGGAGGTGTCCTGCATCCTCTGAGCTGCTGGGACTGGACACCGACAGAGCTCTGGGGCAGCAAAACTCTTTCTTCTGTGGCTCAGGCTTGTGGTGGTGGCTGCCATGGGGGAAGGAGCCACCTGGCTCTGGGGGCTCCCTGTGAAACATGGGGGGTCTTTTCCACAGGTTTCCCAGTACCAGAAAAGTGCAGGGCTTGGGAGACTCTCGTTTTTGGGCAGCATCCTGAAAGAAGCACCACAGCTCCCATCTCAGTCCACTCCATGTGTGTGTGTGCGTGGTGCTCTGCAGACCCCCTGGCTGTGCCCTGCCTGCAGTGTTTGTTTTCTGACCCCATTACTTATTCCCGTTTGGATTTCAGCTGCTTAGGCTTGATTATTTTAAACCCCCTCTATCTGATTATCATCAACCCAGCCAGGCCAGATATGAAGCTTCCTGGGGGATCCCCAGCAGTGTTTCAGAAGGATAAATTGCCTCTCATTCATGCTTTTGGGAGTTTGGTCAGCCAAGAGAGGAGGGAGCTACGGGGATATTCCAAAGGGGGGGGAGGCAGCTCCCCCTGTATTTCCTGTGCTACAACCTCACAAATATCCGACTTTGCCGTGGGGTGGAGTTCCTTGCTGCCCTGGGCGTGTGGGGAAATGTGTCCTGGCAAGCACCCCGGGAGGTGTCAGTGATGGGCACACACTAACACACTGGCACGGAAGGATGCTTCTGGAAGCAGAGCAGCTCAGGGACACACTGGCATGGCCGGGTGCAGCACATTGGTACCCAAACCAGGCAGCCCTGTGCAACCTCCCCAGAGCTGCCTTGCTCTTGCTTTTCGGTTTTCTATTGTTATCCTAAAGCTGTCTTCCTCCTCCTCCCCCCAGCCCTCAGCAGGATGAGGAAGCCTCCAGCTGGCCTAGGAGGCTTATCAGCTCTGTCTGGCTGGGTGTTAACAGTTTATTTGCATAAGTACCTGTCCCCGTCATATGCCGCTTGCCTTTGTGACTCACTGGAGTTGTTTATTTTTCCTCCGGCAGCCAGGCTTGCGGCTGCTGCTCCCCGAGGGATGCCAGGGCAGATGCCACCACCCCCGGGCACTGCGGGATGCCTGGCACGCTCGGGACAGGACGCTCACCCTCCCTGGCTCACCCAATCCTCCTGCCCTGCGGGACCAGCTTGGAAATTAAATGTGTAACTGGTCGGGTCCTGTTTTCTCCTGGCCGTCAAGATAAAACGAAACTGAACCCCCCCAGCTGTCCCTGGCTGGGGAGAGCAAGGCTTCCCCTGGGACCACAGTCCCAGCTGCTGTTGCAGGGAAGGTGCCTCTGGCTGCAGGGCTGTGTGATGTGATGGGTATCTGTCTCCTCACCACTGTTAGCACTCATGGACTCACAGAATGTCCTGAGTTGGAAGGGACCCACATGGATCACTGAGTCTGACTCCTGGCCCTGCACAGGACAACTCTAGAAATCCCAGAGGGGGGGGTGTCCAAATGTTTCTTCAGCTCTCTTCAGGCTTGGTGCCATGACTGCTTCCCTGAAGAGCCTCTTCCAGTGCCTGAGCGTGCCCTGGGTGAAGAACCTTTTCCTGATATCTTTATTTTAAGGAGCTGAGATCCTTAAAGCCTCTTCTGAACTCAGGTCTCTGCTCCAAAGGCAGCATGACCTGCCAGACCAACCCTCCTGGCTGTGCTGGAGCACCCAGGGTGCAGCTCTGCCCCAAGTGCTGGTTGTGACCGCAGAGTCACCTCCTGGGGTAGGAGCCGAGCGATCTTGTTTCTGCTCGTTTGCTCTGAAGGGTTTTTCCATCCGTAGTAAGAAAGTCATTAATGTTAAACTTCCGCTGCCAGGTCCGATTGATTTGAAGATTATAACCACTCTAAAGGGGGTATGTGCTGCATATACAATGTGTTGAAGTCCTGGCAGGCAGGAATTGTTGCTCCAATGGTTGCCTGTGATCCGTGGAGCCCAACAGAGAACAGCTCAGGCAAACGTGGGGCTGCTCAGCAGCCTGGCAGGGCCAGCGAAGAGTGGCCAAAGGGCAAAGGTAAATTCAAATCAGCAGCTGGTACATCCTCTGCACAAGGGCTGTAATCCTATCCCAGGAGATGACAGACTCATGGTTTAACAAGTCTCCGTGCTGTTGTTGCTGTGATATTTTCCTAATGTGGTGCACATCCACGAGGTCCTTGGTGCTCGCAGGAGGGCAATGCTCAGTGTGGGATCCTCCCTGCAAGATGCTACCAGGACTGAAGTATTTTCTTCTGAATGTGGCCCAGAAACCTGGGAGTTGTTGCTGGTGTGTTGTGCTTCCCCTCCGTGGCTGATGGGCCAATGAATCAGTTGTGCACCCAGCCAGCCACTTCTGGTACGTAAAAGTTATTTTAGACACGTTTCTGGTGTCCATCATATCATTCATCATATACCAGTTGACAATGTACCAGTTGAGCTGTGCCAGTTGTGTTTTGCTCCTCTGACTGGGAGACTGGATGGATGGATGGGGGAAGCTTGGTGAGAAGAGCAAGGGATTTGGCTCAGCACATTCAGCCTCAGCTCTGACTGTGTGATGTTACAGGGCAGGTCAAAGTGTGAGAGAAGTGAGTGTGGAAAGGCAGATAACCAGCAATTTGCTGTGAGTATGGTCACTGAAGAGGATCAGTGGACTTGGTTTGTCCAAAGAAAAATGCAGAGAGAGAAAACAGAGGGAGAAGGAAGCAAACACGTGCATCACGTGAACCAAGAAGTGGCTAAAGGAGCAGAACCAGAGAAGGATAAATTCATGAAGCCAGGAGAGGGCTGCAGGAATCTCATTATAAATATCATATTAAGTTGTGTATCTCAAGAAGTCCCTGACTTTTCATCTTTATCTCTTTTCCTCAAGTGCATGAACAGCTGACTTGTCCTTCTGGCTGCTCTCAGGTCTTTCTGAGCCATCGTTGCCCATCCCATGTGCCTCCCTCTCTTCTGGCTGCACCCAGGCTGAGTTTGCTGCAAGGGAACACTGCTCAGGCGATGGAGTATCCATGTCAGCCCCCCTACGGTTAAAACCAACCTTGTAAGCAAACCCTCATAATTTTATTTATGACTTTTGGATGAGATAATGGTTTTCCACTTTGAAAAGAAAGCTTGCTACTTCAACATTTATTTTCTATAAATGCCTTGGCATTTATATTGCAACAGGAGACTATTCAGTGACATTATCTGATAAATATCGTGTTATACAGCTGCAATTTACAATGCATATATTTTTAACGGTGCTTCTAAGCTAAATTAAATGCTTCTAAAATATGGTACTTATGGAAAACAAATGTCTTTTCTAGCAATTTTGTTTTTCAGGGTACACTATTTTTTTAAAACCAGATACCATCTTTATCCTGTCAGGCAGTAAATTATGCACTTGCACTTTCATAAACTCTCCCCTTGGGAACTTAGTCAATGAAATGGAAATGTCTTTTTCACACCCTCCAACTCCAGAGAAATACAGGGAAATAGCCAACTGGGTTATAAACTGAATCCATACAAAATGTGGATTAATGCAGTCCTGATGCATGTATTGTTTAGCATATGTACCATTCACTCAAATGGTGCTTTGAGCTGTGACTGGGATCATTAATGCCTCTTTTTTTTTTATTTGGGAGAGTAATGGCATGTTCTGTGGTGGGATGTGCAGTAGGAAGACACCCACTGGCACGGGACTGTAACCTTCCTCCCAAGCCAGGACTCCTGTGGGAGGAGGAAAGCTCTGTTGGCCTGCTCAGGGGAGTAAAACACAATGGCTTTTACACCTTGGTGGATCTTTCCTGGGTTGTGGAGTGGGAATGGGGAGGACAAGGGTTTAGAATGGCCTGTCCTGCCTTTGGGATAGTCTTTCACGAGGGAGAGCAGAGGTACTGAGGCAGCTGGACTAGATGCTCCTTGTAGGTTCCTTCCAGCTGAATTATTATTCTAAATCTACTTCTGTTTCCATCGTCCATCACCTACTGAGTTTGCCTGTAGCAGTCAAATATCTTCATACAAAACCCCACGTGGTCTGAGGAGCTGTGCTATTCCCTCACTGCACTGAAGGTGGAAAGTGTGAAATGCCACCAAAAAGGAGGCAAAGGAATGAAAGCAGGGAAGGGTGGGAGGGTGTTGCAGGGGAGTCTGCTGTGATGCCCAAGGATCCCTCCAAAGCAGGAGGAGCTACAGCAGGTCTCCTGTCACAGGAGGGGCACTGGAGCTGTTCACCTCACTACTGATGGCCCTTATTTTCCCAAATATAACTCACAGGCCCTTTGAAAGCCCCAGTTCTTCCAGTCTGGTGACTGCATGAAATGTGGGATGTATTACATGCACTTGGCAATAGAGGCAAACTTAGAGAAAATGGGAAAAGCAACAACAACAACAAAAAAAGGAATCTTGAAATTTGGCAGAAAAAATGCAGTGCACAAACCCCACAGGAATGTGAGCATCTTTGCACAAAGCCACTTATGGATGCATTCCTTAAAGGTAATCCCTTCAGACAGAGTGAAGCTGCCATTTCTTTGAAAGATATTAAAACAGCTGTTGCTAGAACATAGAGAATTTCTGAGCTCTCTGTCAAGGGATGGACATTTGTAATGCTATATCTACTTTATTTACAGTTTGATACCAAATTTCCAGCTACTGAAGGTAATTGAGACTGCAAACAAAATCTCACTATCCACTGATCTGCCAAATCAAATTTCTTCTCCTGTAAGTATAGTGTTTTTCCTTAGCTTCAGAGAGGAAAAGAATTATGCAAAATGAATGAGAAAGAAAAGGGATTAGTTTATATAATGACCACTGCAGCCATCTCTCCCTTGATCTGTCATAGTTTATTCTCGAAGATGGGAATGATTATTATTGTAATTTAGAACAGAGCTTGTTCTCTTTCCTTCTGCTGCATCTGCTTATTACTCTCCAAATTAACACATATTTTAATAAAAACTAAACATCCCGATTATAGCTGGGGTGTTGGATGACCCCAGCTGGGATATGGGCACAGCAAGATTTTCATCATCTCTGTGTTCCCCTCCTGGAATGTCTGTGCACTGCCCTGGTCTTTGATAGGAGTTAAAGCAGCCATGAGGCTATTCTAATGACTTCTGGCTACCAGAGGCCTCAGAAGAGGGTATCCAAGGCAGTAAATCAGCAGCCACGTGTCTCCTGTGCTGTTCTCGAGTTGTGTGGTGCTTCTGAGGATCTCTGGGAGCTCTCTGTCATCAGAGCAGCTCCCTGCTCCGTGGTGCTCCCCCAGCATCAGGGATGGGTGGGTGTCACAGCAGGAGCAGGCTGAGGGAGCTCAGCCTCCCTCATGGTCTCTCACTAGCTAATGTCAGAAAATAGATTGTTTCTAAAGCTCTTCAAAACTACACTGGATTTTTTTGCTGTATTTGAGGACTACTCACACTCCCATGGTCCTGTCCCACCCGTGTGTCTGGTGCCCACGTATTAATTAACTTTGATGCCAACAAGGCAACTGGGTTTTCCTCTTTCTCTCCCGTCTGCACCAAGATCTTCACTGCTCTCAACTCTGACTGAGAAATTTTATTAAACCAAAGCGTTGAGAGGTGAACTAATTGATACACTTGTTCTCCTGAAGTTGCTTCAACACTTTTGTAGCTGTGACTCTAGGGTTGAGCAGAGTCACCCCTAAAATCAAGGTGTTCACACCTCATCACCCCAGCACAGCGCTCCCCCAGCGTGTGGGGAAGCAGCCATGAGGCAACAGCTCTGCAGCATTTTGGGGACTCATGGTTAGTGATGGGATTTAACTCTGCAGAACTCATACAAAACTTATAAAGACCCTGTCCTTCACTTCAAAACATCTGTTAATTCTGCTTGTGTGCTCATTATCGAAAGGCTGCCTATATTTTTCCTTTCAGGTTTGCAAAAATAAGCACCGGTGAATGAAGATGAAAGGGAAATGTTGCTGGTTTCTTCCCTGGAGATCGTATTTCTTACTTGTTGCATAACTGCTTATTTTAGCATCAATCAGCCGAGCCTTTGTTGTGCAGACAATTCTGTCCTTTTAGAGGATTTGTGCAGTATTGTTTCTTCCAAAATGCCTTTTTTTTTTTGTTTTTGTTATTAGATTTATTTCTTCTCTTAGCAAATGCCAACTGACAACACCCCATCAGAGCTCTTCATAAGTGTTACATAAATGTCATACTATGTAAACTGAGTGTTGGATGTATCATATACATGACTTTTCTTGGAGAACCATCCATCAGGTGCTATCTGAGTGTGTGTGTCACATTTATGTATTTGTACACAAGCCGTGTTTAAGTGTGCATGCATGGTAGCCAAAATTCTGTTATGGAAAGTACTCAAAATGCAGAAATGTCTGAACTCTTCTTGTCAGTGCAACTTCATCTACCCCCTTTTGTTGAGGCAGAACAAGACTTTAATTTCATGTTCAGATACTCTTTTCCTTCTGCATCGCTGTGTGTGCAGTGAGATGGGCAGCAAGGGGCTCAGTGATGCCTATTGTTCAGCACACGAGCCTGGGCAGAGTACATTATTCAGCACATTATTCACATGTCTGACCACTTTTGGATTTCACAGCGATAGAAAACACAGCTCAAATACTTCTCGGTGCAGTTTTCAAAGCAGAGCCAGGTGCTGATGTTCTGGATGGCAAAAATGCTTTGAGGTTGCATCTCATAGGCATGCTGTGGACCTGCCCTGCCACGCTGTGACCTTCCTTAGAGATGTGGTCCAGAAATCATGGAGAAATGACCTCAAAGGGTGGGAAGGCTGCAGTGTGCAGTACAGGACCAGAGCAGGGGGATCTGCAGGTTCCTCAAAAGACACAATTATTAATGTCCTCATGGTTCTTTCTGTAGCACTTTCCACTACACTGCCTCAGTGCTTCAGCACCTTCATTAATCCTCCCCAAACGCCCGTTTTGAAGATGGGTCAGGGTGACACATGGATGGATTAAGGTCAGTTTTGACTAATTCAGGGTACTCCGTCTGAAAAGCATAATGTCTGCTTTTTCAGAGCATTTAACATGATACAGCACTTCATACATGCAAGCACAGCACCCACTGCTTCCAGCTGCACGAAGATGGATGTCAGCAATTCAGGCTAAAGGTTTCCAGCCACGCACCCGCAGTGTGGGCACTGCAGCCACCAGCAGCCAAAAGTTTGGGTTAATGACTTTGTTAGCATCATACAGCCTGTGGCAAGGGCATGGAGGGAATCTGCTTCTTTGGGAGAGTTTTGTCCTATTGTCGCAGTCTCTCTGAGTCTCACAGCCCTTGCATTGCTCCCTGGGCAGTTTATGGTTCTGCAGATAAGATGAGAATCTGACCAGTGTTTTCTTTTTGACTTACACAGCAGGTCCGGGATGTGCAGGTGTTGTAAGGAAATCAGACTGGGGCAGTGTAATTAAGAACTGCATTACAGTATGTGTGCACAATAAAATTGGTATGGAATGCCTCACTTTGGACACTTCTGATGTTCTCACCAGGTAACACGATGACCTTCACAATATCCCTTAAGGCAGTCTGTGCACATGGATGAGGTGGGATCCACAGGTGAAGTCCTGGCAGTGAGTGTTGCTGGATGCTGGAGCAGCAGTGTCAGCACCCACAGAGGTCCCTGGGGCTGCCAGGGACCGACAGACAGGGGCTATGCTTGTGTATCCCACTACTTTTGAAATCCCAGCAAAGGCTTTTTAACCAGGGGCTGATGTTTCCTGTTCTATGGGGGGGGCTGTTGAGTGGATTCTGAGCACCTGGGGCAGCAGGTGCCCCAAAAGCAGCATGTTCAGAGATTTCAGCAGCATCGGGCTTTTTTTTTTTTTTTCCCCTGTGTTGTGAGCTGCTCTTCTTCAAAGCCCAGCAATAGGACTAATTTGGGTGGGTTTATCTAAAAGACCATAAAAGGCTGCTTCATGCCAAATTTCAAGACCCTATTTCCAGAGTTACAGTCAAAAAACCATGGCAAGCCCAAGAATGACCAAGATGATGCTCTTCTACTCTGCTTTCATCTTTGGAAGAGGCAAAGGATTTGGAGTGTTCAGAAAACATCCACTACAGGCTCTGCCAAGGCAGAAAGTTGCAGACTAATTCATTCAAGTTTGGCAATTTATAAGGAGCCACAACAGGGATGTACGGTGGGGAGCATCTGGCTACCGTAGCTGTGCTTCCTAGTGGTTTATAACCGGTAATTCAGCGTTTTAGAGCTCACCAGCTTAACGAACGTAAGAGATGATGGCAGATTGTGACTGAAAGACCGTAAGAGATGATGGCAGATTGTGACTGAAAGACTGTCTTTAACCTGAATTTTAATCTTCTGCAGCAATGGTTTAAAACAGTGCAAGCCAACTTCTGTAGGGCCCCCGGGAGCTGGGGAAGATGCACGGTGTACACCCAGTTATTATTATTTTAATTCAAGAAACCGTTTCTATCCCGACAGCACCGCTGTCGTTGTTTTTAATCCGGGGGAAAACAGCTGGCAACAGGCAGCCCTGAACCACCCAGAGCCCAAAACACTCGTTTGGGCAGCGCGCAGCAGGGTCACCCCGCGGGGAGGCGGGAGGCGGCCGCGCCGCTCCGCACCTCTGCGCGGAAAGTCTGCGAAGTTTTTTTTGGGGGGGGAACACACACGTGTACGCACACAGGCGGGTCGGGGGGGGGCTCTGCTGCCGCAGCAGCATCCCCAGCCCGCCGCTCCTCGCCCCTCCGGTGCGGGCGCGGAGGCTCCGCTTCTCCCCCCCCCCGCCCCGGCGGTTCCCACGCCCCGCGGCCGCGCAACTTCGCTCCGCGGGTGCGGGAGGGAAGGAAGCGGCTCCGCACCGCGGCCCCCGCCCGCCCCGCGATGGGCAAGAGCCGTCTTTTTGACGCAGGAGAAATGGCAAATTTTAAGTACGTCATTAATATGGCGCCAAAAGCTTTTTTTTTTTTTTTAAGTATAAGCTTATTTTTTTTTCCTCCCCCCGCTCCCCCCCCCCAAAAAAAAAAAAAAAAAAGAAAGGAAAGAAAAAAAAAAAAAGAAAGGTTGGCGAAGCCGCCCCGTGTACGCGTGTGCACAGCGCGGAGAGGGGGAGCGGGCGGGGGGGCGGGCGGTGTGTGCGAGTGTGTGTGAGTGTGAGTGCGTGTGCAGGGCCGGGCGGCGGGACGGCTGCGGGGCGCGGGGGCTGCGGGGCTCCGGGCAGCGCCATGGGGCCCCGGCGGCCGGCGGGGGGGTGACGCGGGGCGGGCGGCGGCGGCGGCGGCGCGGCCCGCGATGGGACCCGCGCTGCCCGCACCTGGCCCTGCCGCGGCGCCCGGGGAGGGGAGAAGGGAGAGAAATTGAAGATTTGGGGCGGCCGAGGCGGCGGGGGGGGTGGGTGGGGGGGGTGGAAGCGCCGCCACCATTATCCGTCCCCGCTCCGAAAGTCGCTTCCCCGCCTCCCTGCCGGAGCCGGAGCCGGAGCCCGGGCGGCGGCGGGGCGCGGAGCGCCGGAGGAAGTGCGGGGTGAAAAAGAAAGAGAAACAGGCGGGCAGGGCTCGCCCGGCCGCGGCGGAGCGGCCATCTCGGCTGGGAGCGGGGCCGCATCCATGGAGTTACCGAGCGGGCGCTCCTAAGGAGGGCCCGGGCGGCGCGGCCCCGGCAATGACACCGGATTGAGCCGCCGAGGGGGCTCTCCCGGCCGGGGACTGCGGGAGCATCCCCCGCCCCCGCCTCCTCCCGCCCGTCACCCCAGAGACCGGCGCAACTCCGGGCGGACACTCTCCTGGCCAAGGTAAAGGCTCGGCGGGGTGGCGGCGGGAGCGGGCTGGGTTTGCAGCGGATGGTTATTTTGCAGCTCCCCCTGCTTTTGCTGTATTTCTGTCTTTTTTTTTTTTATTATTTATTTTTCACCCCCCTCCCTCCCCCGGCTGCCGGGCGGGGGATGTGCAGCATTCCCGGGGCGGATGGCGCACGGTGGTCACTCTCCTTTGGAAGTGCGGGAGGGAGGCGGCGGGGACGTAAACAAGAACTTTTCGAGGCTCGGTTCGCCGCTTCGCCCCCTTTATCCCCCCGAATTAATGACTGCGGCAGCGGCCCCGCGCCCTGCCCTGCCCGCCGGGAGGGGAGGGGGCGGCCCGGCGGCCCGCGGGGCTCGGGCGGGCTCCGCTCCCGGGGCTGTGCGGGCTCGGCGCGGGGCCGCGGAGCGCGGCGGGGCCGCGGGCGCGGAGCGCGGCGCGGGGCCGGGATGGCGGTGCCCGGGGGCGTGGCGGCTGCCGGCTCCCGCCTGCCCTCCCCTTCCTCCCCCCTTCCCTTCCCTCCCCACCGCGGGGCTTTCCCCGCCGCCTTCCCCCGCCGCACCGCGCTGGCGGGTCCCGGCGCTGCCGGCCCCGGGGGGGGGGTACCCGCCGCTCCCCCCGCGGCATCACCGCGCTCGAAAACATCCCGCGTCCCGCCCTCCCTTCCCCGCGCTGTGGTCCCCGCGGGGCGGCCCCCCCTTCTCCCTCCATCCCCGGCCACCTGCCCCCTCCCCGGGCGCTCTCCCGCATCCTCCGGGGATCCAGCGGCGCCCCCGCCGCGCTCCTGCCCCTTCCCCACCTGCCGAGCCGCTTCCCGCCCAGGGTGCGGGGCTGGGAGCCCCCCGCGCCCGGGGTGGGAGCAGCGAGCTGGAAGTTGGGAAGCGCTGCAAAGGCGGGAGGCTGCTGAATTGTCAACCTCGGAGGGGGAAAAAAAAAAATTATATATTTATCTCTCGCCATACCTGCACATCCTGAGCGCTTTTTGAGTGGGAAGGGAAGGATGGCATGGCACTCACAGGGAAAATTCCCAGCGCCTTCTCAGCACCCACAGTGAGAATTGTTTGCTGAAGGGTTTGAGCCAGGACCCTCCGACGGCTGGGACATTTTTAGGAGGAGATTTTGCTTGAGGGAAGAAAAATTCAGTGATCTCAGCCTTCTCCCCGGGGGTAAGGAGCACGGCTCTTAGGAATGGTGTTTGACCTTTAAGCATTTATTGGCTACTGGGGTTAAAATAAGCTTGAGATAGAAGTAAAAATAGCTTGCAGAAAGGTTAAATCGAAGGTTAAATTTGTTTTTCCTAGGAAAATTGAGGCTTGATGTTCAAAAATGTAGGCTTGGAGCAAAGGATGGAGGGTACATGTTAGGGGGTCTGTAGGCAGGGAGATGCAATTCCTTTAAAGTATCGATGGCTGCTGATAGTGTTTGACACCCAAGTTCTGAAAGCTGATGGGTGGGTGGTCCCCAAACTATTTAGATGTGGTCTTTGCCTTTCTGTGGGTGTTCCGTACAAAGATCGGAGTGCCCATAGCTCCTGTTGATTTCCTCTGAGCTGTGGATGCTCAGAGACCTGCAGGATGGGGCGTGGAGCCGTGCCCGGTGTCCCTGCCCGGTGTCCCTGCCCTCACCCTCCCCCTCAAAGGCAGAGATGTTTCCAGTGCCCTCAGTAACCTTTCTGATTACCTGTGCTCTGTCTGGGCTTGCTGAAAAAAAAATAGATAATTAGAGGGTAACGAGTCAGAAGAGGCAAGTGGAGTTATAAATGTGAGTAGTAAAGAAAAAAAATCCCCTTGTAGATGTGGAGAAAGGCAAAGCACAGGAAGTAAACGAGGGCTTGTTTTGTTTTAAATTGAAATGAGATTAAATTTTGCCCCAGGGAGCCAAGACAGCCAGCAGAGTTGGTGTGGAGGAGAGGAGGGATGCCTCGCTCCTCACTGGGTACCTGAGTTTTTGCTGCAAAGTTGGGGCTGGCAACAACCTGTGGAGGAGGCGAGGGGCAGGCGAGCCCCGGCGGGCAGGGACAGGCTCCCACTGCCCGGAAAATGGGTGTTCTGGGTACCAGGATCCTGCCTGTCTGCTTTTACACTTCTGCAGGGTTTCCAGGGAGGTTAAGAAAAGCTTCCTCCCAGACGTCAGGGCTGTGCACCACGGTTCGCTGAGGGTCTGTTGGCCCAGCCGCTGCGCATCCTTCGGTCCAAAACTTTGTTCTTCTGTCCCTATGAGACTGGGGCTGGGCCAATTCGGGGGACGCTGCCGCTCTCTCAGAGCCTCCTGTAGCAGCACTTGGCTCCAGAATCGCTGATGGGAAAAGGCGATGGGAAGAGGACAACCCTCCCACGGTGTAAAGACTGGGACGTTCCAGCCCTCCACCCTTCTTATTACACTTTCTAACAACTGGTGTTCCTAGACAGAGAGGGGGAAAAAACCACAATTAAGGCAGAGGGGAAGCGTTGAAGGGGGTGCGTTGGGAGCAGCCCCGGGGCTCCACATCCCCCGCGGGGCGCGGGCGGTGGGACGGGCGCGGGGGTCCCCGGCGCGGGGTCCGCTGGCCGGAGCGGTGTGTGTGCCGCTGGGGGCACTATGTTCCGTTTGTGTTCCTATTTCTGGGCTGGAAGAACAAACAGGGAAGTGGTTTTTCTGCAGTCTCATTGCAGCTCACAAACAGAGCACATCATTCAGCCGGTGTTGCTCACAGCGTCAGAGGTGACGGCG